GGCGGAGGCGGAGGCGGAGGCGGCGGCGGAGGCGGAGGCGGAGGCGGAGGCGGAGGCGGAGGCGGAGGCGGAGGCGGAGGCGGAGGCGGAGGCGGAGGCGGAGGCGGAGGCGGAGGCGGAGGCGGAGGCGGAGGCGGAGGCGGAGGCGGAGGCGGAGGCGGAGGCGGAGGCGGAGGCGGAGGCGGAGGCGGAGGCGGAGGCGGAGGCGGAGGCGGAGGCGGAGGCGGAGGCGGAGGAGGCGGAGGCGGAGGCGGAGGCGGAGGAGGAGGCGGAGGAGGAGGAGGAGGAGGAGGAGGAGGAGGAGGAGGAGGAGGTCGTGTCCCCCCTCGCCTGATCTCTCCTCTCGTGTTGTGCTCGTTGCGGTGTTACTTTGTACATACGTATTTAGCCGTGTTGGCTTAGGGGCCTCCATTCTGGAGGCGAGGTGGGATGTGTATCGATTGTCTCCTTCCCGCTCCTCCTGAGAAGAAACATCCAGATCAACTGTCCTTTGGCAGAGCCAACAAATTGTAATCGGATCGGAGGTTGTGACAGGACAGACGTCTCAGAGCACGCAGGAGGAACGGAGAGCACAGACCGCTGCAGCCGAAATGGAAGGAGAGCTCATGACACGTGTTGCAAGCACCGATCCGTGGCTTCAGGAATATGTATCGTTGGGGCCCAATCGCCTCGCCAGAAGACAATCAGGACTGGAGCTGGGACTGGATAGTCACTGGGGCTGGTCAGGTTCAGATCGTGGGTGGCAGAACGATTGGTGGATGGATTCGCGCTGGACATCATGGGGTGCAGCTGAATCTTCGAACGACCGAGATTGTGGACCACCGCCGGCCTGGCTTGGCTTCGAGAGCCTGGAACTATACCAGGCCAAATTATTGTCGTGGGCTGAACGGACGGGGTGCACGGAGAGTCAGAGGGCGCCGAAGGTCGTGGAGGGCCTCCCCGTCGAGCTGCAGCAAAAGCTCAAAGCGGTAAGGTCGTCGTTGGCAGCTACCGACGGCTTTCCAAGTTGTTCGATCACATGGCAGTGCTCAACGGTGAGAGGCCAGGAGACCGGGCCCGGAGGGCGCAGAACCTGGCCCTCTTCGATCACCTGATCAAGCGCGGGGAGACGTTGACGGACTTCGTCTTACGTAGGGACAGCCAAGTTGCAGTTGCGGAGTCGTGCGGCTTGGTTCTCCCTGGTGATATCAAGGCGCGATACTTTGAAGAAGGCGCGTTCATCTCGCTTCAGAACAAAAGCAACCCTCGTGCGGTCACGTTGGGCCAGAGAGACTTCCAGTCGATGCGCTCGGCCCTATTGCAGTTGACAGGGGCATCGAAGAGCTTCCGGAGACGGGTGCCCCCGGAGAGGACAGGGGCATCGAAGAGCTTCCCATTGGACCTTGACCAGAACGAGCTCCCGCCGCCTCCTCAGACCTACTGCGACGACGACGACGACGATTTGGGTGATGAGGTGGAGCTTCCCGAGGAGGAGGAGGCCGAGGCCTTCCTGTTGTCCCTGGACTCCCAGGGCCTGGGCGAGAACGAGGTTTTGGGCGCGCTCGCTGCAGTGGTGGAAGAGCGCTTCGGGAAGGAACGACGTAGGACATGGAAGGGGTCTCGCAACCTGAAAGCTGCCAAGTGCTGCTTGCCCTGGGCGCCGGCGACTGATGGCGGGCGACCTGAAGTCTTGGTCGCGGCGTGCCAACTGTGGCGAGCGCGGGCACTGGGTCGACACCTGCCGGAAGCCGTATCCTTCCAGGGCTGATCGGGAGGCTGCCGAGGCCAAGGCCAAGCCCCCGCCAGGCCGCCGATGATGGCGAACGGCTTTGGATTCACGTCTTCGAGAACACGCCCGATGCCGTCCAGGACTTCTCCGGTGCCGCCGACGTTGTGCCCTCGACCCCTGCCGGCCGCGCCTCTCGGGTGAGTTTGCTGAAGGTCAAGTGGGGCCGCCTGATCGACTTCTGCTCGAGCACGGCTGGCGCTGCGGAGCTCGTGCCATTTCTGGGCCTGCGGGGCGCGGCCGCGCATGCCCTCGTGGACGCCGCTGCGGCTCAGGCTCTGATCAGCAAGCCGGATCTCGCCTACCTCGAGTCGGCCCTCGCGGAGCTGGGCTACCGGGCGAAGGCGGACTGGGCGCCGGTGCAGGGCGCTGCAGCATCGGGCATCGGTGGCAGGGCGACGCCGATAGGACGTGCGTGGGTGCCGGTGACTATCGCAGGCGGCGGGATTGTGGAGTTCTTGGTGTTGTCTCACGCCTGTCCCCCCTTGCTTCCAGCCAGACTCCTCGCCATGCTGGGGTCGACCATCGACCTGAGGGCGAACGTCCTCTGCGCAGACGAGAGGGAAGTACGGATTCATCGCCCCACGACGGTGCGCGCCGCGGGCCACAGGTCCGTCAGCCTCGTCGGCCGTCCGCCCGAGGAGTTCAGCATCTCCGCGGAGCCCCATCAGAAGTTCAACGCGAGCGACTTCGCGCTGCGGCTGGGCCCTGCTTGCCCGGCCCGCCGAGAGGAAGAGGCGACGGGGAGTAGGAGTGGGGACTTAGGCAGCACGTTTGTAGGCAGTCAGAATCTCGCTTCTCCTCCCAGTCAGATTCGGGGACAGCGCCCTGACTCTACACTGGGGCCCCGCTCGGCTCAAGCGACAATTGCGAGCGGGGAGCGACGCTCGACTCGGGTAGAAGGCAGGGCCATGGTGAAGATGGCGAAGCGCGAGGCCTCTAGGTCCAAGAACGGCCGAGATTCGCTGGCAGGAGTACGCCGCCGAGCAGCGATCTCAGCTGCGAACGGCGGCGAGGAGGGCGCGTCGTCGGACACCTGGGGGGGCATCCTGACGAGCCCCGAGGAGGTCGAGCGACTCGACGAGCTGATGATCGCGGAGGAGATGCCCGAGGACGAGAAGAGCTTGTGCAACCAGGGCCTTCTTCCCCTGGGCACCTTCCTGCAGCGCTGGATGGGGTCTCGCTCTGAAGGCGATGCGGTTCCACCGTCGGCGCCTCGGCATGCTGGGCGCCCTGGGCCGTTGCCCGAAGGCACGGGGGGAGATGGGCCCGGGGGATTTTTGCCCATCCGCCTTGGGCTCGCGCGACTCATGGAAACCAGCGCGCCGCCCGGGCGGACTGCTCGCAGTGCGACTCGCGCGTGACCTTTCGCATGCAGACCGAAAGGCCGAAGCGCCCGCTCGCCGGGCCGCCAGGAAGAAGGCCGTCGAGAACAACGAGCTCCTCGAGCAGAGGCAGCGGAAGTTGAAGGAGTTTGTGGACACCCACGGCTCCGCCGACCCGCGGGCGCCCGCGCCCCCGCCGAAGCCGCCGCCTCGGGCGTCGAGGCCGCCCCCTGCCAAGTTGAGCTCGGCTCCGGAGCTGGACCGCGGCCTCATCCTCGCGGCGGGCGGGCGCGCGCCGGCAAAGCCCCCGCCGCCCCCGCTGCCGCCCTGCGTCGCGGAGCTGGCCCCCAAGCGCTACGCCGAGCCTGGAATGGCGATGTCCGAGATGCAGGAGACCCTCTCGAGCGCCGCGTCCGCGGTCGAGAACCAGAGGAAGGACAGCAAGCAGAGGCTCGAACAGATGACGAGCATGATAGGCCAGCAGCTGGAGCTCATATGGATGATCGCGGGCGCGCGGGCGTCTCGGGGCGCCGGCGCCAGCTCGAGCCCGGGAGCCCCTGGTGTCTGAGCGACGCCCCTGGCCGCGAGATCGAGTCGGCCTCGCGGCGCGGCTTGGGCCTGTCGGGGGCGAAGACGGAGGGTGCTTTCGCCGGGGATCTCGACGCATTTTGCCATGGGGTCCGAGGGCCCCCCGGTTTCCGAAGCACTTCCAGGAAGATATTGGGGCCATGGAGCGGGGGCGAGAAGAGGGCTCTCGAGATCTCGGAGGTTGCCTTCCGGGAAGGATGGGGGAGACAGGGTCTAGGCCAGGCTAACTCTAAGAAGTTTTCTGCCGCTCTCGCCGTTCGCGCTTGCGGGGGGCAGGCGGCGCCGAGGGCCCTAGTTCCTTGCGGGGTTCGCTGGCTTGGAGTCAAAAGTGAAGAAGGTCTGGCGCTGCTCTCGGGGCCCCGGGGAACCGTCGGGGCCTCTGATATTGTTCAGCTTATTGAAACCAGTAGCGCGAGCATGACGTCCCGGCGCGAAGACCCGTCCACGGTCGCAGCAGGAGTCTTCGAATGACAGAACAAGGAGAAAAGGGCCGAGGAGATGCTCGAGGAGAGAAGGGGGAGAGAGGAGGAGGACGAGAGGAGGAAAGCCAGGGGAGAGCGCCAGAGAAGACGACTGAGAGAAGCAGGATCCTGATACTCGAGGAGGACCGCTGCGCGGCTGCAGCCTTAGCCGGTGACCTCCACCTCTCTCGAGACTTGCGGAGTTCCGAGGTCTGTCGGGAACTCGGCCGCTCGGGCCCTAGACGGCCGCGGCCTCCGAAGGGGCAAGGAGCTCAGACGGCGTGATCTTAAGGGGCTCGAAGCACGCAGAGGGGGGACCTTAGCTGTAGAATTCCCCCCCCCCAGGGCGACCGCCGAGCTGCGTCGTCGGGGGCGCCCGGGGCCTTAGATGTCCTAGTGGGGGTGGATCTGGCTTCGCTGGAGGGGGGAAGAGCGGCCTCTGTTTGTGATCGCGTCTCCTGCGTGCCGTGCCTTTTCACAGGCCAGGGCCCCCAACTGTGGGCGGATGTATCCAGGGCGTCTGCAGAGGGAGGGGGATCGATGTCTGAGTTGCATGTTTTGTGCGCCCGAGTTGCCGAATTTCAGTCCCAGAGCGGGCGGTATTTTGCTCTTGAGCACCCGTGCTCTGCCAGTTCGTGGGAGCTTGAGACCCTGCGCGTGGTGTCGCCTATGCCCCGGGTCCAGCGACTGGCGTTTAATCAGTGCGAGTTTGGTTTGGACGTTGTCGGGCGACCTGAGATCCCCTCCCGGAAGCGCGCCGCCCGGCTCAGCACCCCCCCGGACCTCTTCCAGTTTTGTGATCGTCGATGCCCATGGAACCACAGGCGCTCTCCCCTTGTCGGCGCCGCCAGGGCGCGACGAGCTGAAGTCTATCCTGAGGCACTAGTCGCCGCCCTCTGCAGCGGCGTGGAGGCTGGGGCATGGGCCCGCCATCATCCTGGCGCGGGGGAACCCGAGGGTAGTGTGTCCGAGGGACCCTTGGGGCCCTATCCTGTTGAGCCGGCGGCAGAAGCGGCGGGTGCCGACGGAGGTCCTGGGCACGCTCCGGGCGAGGTCGAAGGGGAAGAAGTGGGGGAGGGGAAGAGGGCGAACCTCGAGCGCCAGCTCCGAGGCCTTCGGCAGCGGCATCTCCCGAGCCCAATGTGAAGCGAGAGGTGGATCGCCTCCGCGTCAACTTAGGTCATCCTCGACGGGGGGACTTCCTGCGCATGCTGCGGGTTGCTGGTGCCAGACTCGATGTGTTGAATTTCGTGAAGAACGAATTTAGTCGCGATCAATGTGCCGCTCACTCGAGACCCTAATGGAAACGGAAAGCCCACTTGCCTCGCGCATTTGCGTTTGACAAAGCCGTGGCGATAGAATTGTTCTATCTTGACGTTGATGGAGCATCGGTTCCAGCATTAAGCGTCATCGGTCATGGCGCTAGTTTCCAGCTGCGCACTCTCGTCAGCAACGATGCCTCCAAGGCCGCGTGGGCTTCTTTCGCGCGGACTTGGATCCGCCCTTCTGGCCTGCCTGAGATTCCGACGGGCGAGGCGCTGAGTTCCAGTCGGTGTTCGAGCGAGGCGCCGAGCACTCATCTGGATTTCTTCGCGTTATTCCTGCCCCCCCCCCCGCCAGAACGGCAGGTGCGAACTGCGCGGGGGGGGGGGGGGTAATCAAGGGAGCTTTTTCCAGGGCGTCCCTAGGTTGCAGCCCCAGTTCCCGAAAGGAGGTCGATCTTCTCTTGGCCGAGGTGGTCGCGGCCAAGCATCGAGGGTCTCATGGGGGCGGAGTCTCGCTTTCCCAGTTAGTTTTCGGCGAAAGCCCCAGATGTCCCCGTGGCTTACTCTCAGATGAGGGCCTTGATCTCGTTGGTTCGGAGGATGTCCAACCTGGCGCGGCCGATCGCGACTCAGCTGCTGCCGCGTTTGCGGGGCAGCGCAGAGTGGGGGGGGAGGCTCGGGAAGCTCTCGCGGCTCTGGATGGCCGCTCTCGTATCGCGGAGGCGGGGCGCGCTCGTCGTCGCGTGGGTCGATCGTTCTTCCCGGGTCAGTGGGTCTATGTGTTCCGACGTATCGCGCTCCCGAACAGGTCCCAGTCGTTGCAGGGGGATCGGTGGGATCGGGCCCGGGGTCGTGGTTTGCCAGTCTAACGGCCCCGGGGGCACTGTTTGGCTATGCAAGCCCGCTTGCTCAAGTGTTCGGCGGAACATGTCCGCCCCGCCGCCGGGTCCGAGACCCTAGGTGCCCAACCTTTGGAGAGCTCCCTGCCGAGGGGGTAGGAGCCTTCGACGTGGTTGCAGAGTGGCCGCCACCGCCGGAAGCTCGGGATGCCCCCGAGGCCGCCGCCCAAAAGCCGGGGTTTCAAGGCGTAGGCGCGGGAGGCCGAAACAGCAATGGGCATAGTGCGTATATATATATATATATATATATATATATATTGTTGGATAAATAATGCTTTGCAACATACAGTTGCCACATGTTTGATCTATCATCGTCGCCATCTTCTTCATCACACGGTTGAGCCATGCAGTTGTCACATGTTTGATTCGTCATCTTGGCTCGGCGTTTGGCCGTGGCCTCTCGCCCTCGGCGTTTGGCCGAGCCTTCTCGCCCTCTGCGTTTGGTCGAGCCCTCTCGCCTTCGGCGTTTGGTCGATCCAATGTGCCCTCGGCGTTTGGTCGTGCACTCTCGCCCTGCTGATGCGCCGTGCAGGCGCCTGGCGCACCTGACCTGAATTGTGTTCCGGGAACACGAAGAACACGAAGTGGCCTACAGTTGGCTCCGGGCATTTCACATGTGGCGTGGGAGTGGTGTTCTGGGAACACGGAGATCACGCAATGGCCTACAGTTGGCTCCGGGCATTCCAAATGTGGCTTGGGAATGGTGTTCTGGGAACACGAAGAACACGAAGTTGCCTAGAGTTGGCTCCGGGCATTCAAAATGTGTCCTGTGAGTGGCGTTCTGGGAACACGAAGAATACGAAGTGGCCTACAGTTGGCTCCGGGCATTCAAAATGTGGCCTGTGAGTGGCGTTCTGGGAACACGAAGAATTCGAAGTGGCCTACAGTTGGCTCCGGGCATTCAAAATGTGGCCTGGGAGTGGTGTTGTGGGAACACGAGGAACACGAAGTGGCCTATTACAGTTGGCTCCGGGCATTCAGAATGTGGCCGGGGAATGGTGTTCCGGGAATGGATCCTTGAAGATTCCTAAGAATCCCCAGCGATTTCTAAGGATTCCTGGGGTTGCCGGATCTGTCCGGATCCCGCCCAGACCCCCCTGCGGCGTGAAGATGCCTTTTTTTGATCCCACTAGAAACCTATCAGCAAAAGCTGTTAGGATACAAGACGAATCGTATTGCGAGGAGGACGAAGAAGAGTAGTACGAATAAAAGTGCATAGCATTAACACTAGTAATACCACTGCAAATACAAGTGGTAGGAAGCATACGAAACATAACAATAAGACGAAGACCAATCGTGCGACTACGAATAGTTATCTTAATATAAATAATGTCGTGACAAATAATAATAAAGCACATCATACTACGGATCATAATGCGACGGAGAATATGAATAAATTGATAATCGTAATGATGAGAATGCGAAAATGAATATCACGAACATCATTAGTACTACTACCAATATTCAGAGGATTAGTACGATCAGTAGTAGTAGTCTTAGTAGTAGTCGTAGTAGTAGTAGTAGTAGTAGTAGTAGTAGTAGTAGTAGTAGTAGTAGTAGTAGTAGTAGTAGTAGTAGTAGTAGTAGCAGTAGTAGTAGTAGTATTAGTAGTGGTGGTAGTCGTAGTAGTAGTAGTAGTAGTAGTAGTAGTAGTAGTAGTAGTAGTAGTAGTAGTAGTAGTAGTAGTAGTAGTCGTAGTCGTAGTCGTAGTCGTAGTCGTAGTCGTAGTAATTGCAATAATACTAGCATTATCCATGATATAGTATCAATAGAACTACTAATTTCCAGTATAGATATCATCAAACCGAATAGCACGAGCAGATATAACGAGCACACTGGTATTATGAATAATGGGAATAATACTAATGCGAATAAGAATAACAAGAAGAGGAGGAGGAGGAGGAGGAGGAGGAGGAGGAGGAGGAGGGGGGTGGAAGGAGGCAAGGACAGGAAGGGTTGGGAGGAGGGGGAAGGGAGAGGGCATTGGGCAGGAGGAGGGGAGGCGGAGAAGCGGGTTGGTGGCAGGGCAATGGTTGCTAGGGGGCAGGGAGAACGGGCGGGAGGCAGGAGATGGGTAGGGTGTGATGGGGAAAGGGACTGGAAGGTGAGCAGAAGGGGGGTGATGGGAGGGGACGAAGTGGGGAAGGGAAGGGTATGGTGAGGTGGGGGGCAGAGTACAGACTGCAGGCGGCGTTAAATGCGGAG